ATATATATATATATATATATATATATATATACACACACACACGCGCGCGCGCACGCGCGCGTGTGTGTGTGTGTGTGTGTGTGTGTGAGACTAGAGTTGATTTCAATTATTTCTCATTAGTACACATACATACACGACGACTTGTATATTACATTGAAATTATTACATATAATTTTTTTTTTATTAAACGGAGAGTTTTATGGACTAATGCGACTCTCCTCGGTTAGATATTTCTCGATGTAGTTTAATGAAATTGGATTTATGGCAGATATACTTTAAAAAAAAAAAGAAACATCTCCGCTCTTTTATTATTCGTATATACTTACATTACTTTTAATATAATAGAATGAAGTCGAATGTATTCTCGGTGCATTCAATCGAATCACATAGTACGACGTAAATGTCTTCTTATTTTTCGTAAGTTGACTACAATAGTTTGGATTTGTCTTTTTAGAATCTCCTGAATTATGTATTTAATCAAATTAAATCGCATTAGTGTAATATACCTTCTGATTGTCATTCGTTTGTTATTTTGATATCAAAAATTAAGAATCGTATAAATAATCAACTAGATAGAAATTACGGTTGGACGATTAGTTTACGATTATTATCAGAGTTTTGTTAGAGAAAATTTTTAGGCATATCGTGAAACATTACATAAAAGATCGTTTGTCATATTAAATAAATTTCTTCACCGAAAGGATGTAGAGAAAGAGAAGAGAGAAAGAGTATGAGAGAGATGTATTTTGTTTCGTATGAGGAGTTGAAATTTTCATCGGTTTACCGAATTCTAATCTTTGTTGTAGTATCGCTTCGTTCTTTTTCGAGACAGCCAGGATGACGTTAAATCAAAAGAGTTACGTATTTTTGTTTGTTCGCAAAAAGTAACCACATATCGATTCATGTCTGAAGCGTGTATGAAGCCAGATGTGTGCGTCGAGACAGTATCGCGATTTTCATTGCATAGCAAACGCAAAGTATATCGCACTCTCCGTTATTTGATATACATAAATGCGAGATAAAATTCTTCGAGAAGTACTAAAAGGACAGCCAAAATGAGAATAAGTTTGATACACCGATCGCACCGTTTGTCGAGACGAACGAACATAAAAGTAATGATATTGGTGCAGTGACAATTAGTAACAGCGATATTTGTATCTTTTCCAAGTGAAATTGTAATAAAAACAAAAAAGGAAGAAGCAGAAGCAACAATTATCGATTCCGTCTGGTATACACATTCGTTGATATTTCATTATTTATACTGATTAGAGGCGAACCGTGTATAGTTATATATACATATTAATCGGAACGAAATATCCTGTATTGACCAACGCAACACACACATACACACTCACATACGTCTATTTTGAAAATATACTTTACATTTTTGCATTGTGAATAACAAATGATTACAGTTATTTCTTTGGTGAGAAAAAGAAAAGTGACAAAACAGCCGCATGTTGGATGCATGTGTATATGCACGCAACAAGCAAGGACGAAACAAAAAAAAGAGAAAGAAATGTATGTGAAAACACGTTTCCACAAAAAAGATGCTGTGAGAATTGTTACGATTTGCGCATGTACCATATGTACGTGAGGAATAATGTTTCTTCTACCCATGGATGAACCGACCTCGAGCGGTCGTTGTCAAAGCTTTACCAATTACCGCTAATATAAGCGAGAAGTAAATAGTTGTAAGTAAATTCTCGTTTAGTGACTGCATATATATATATATATATATATATATATGTGTGTGTGTGTGTGTATATATATATATATATATATATATATATATATATATATATATATATATAATACATAAACGCTCGTATAAATGCGGTATGAGTAGGTCGATGATGCGTTTTCAAGAACTTGGAAGACCAAATGTAGATTAGCTTCCTTTCTTTTGGGTTGGGGGAGAGAATGTAAATCTGTACTCATAAACTGTGTTGAGAAAAGGGAAAAGTTCGCGGGCTAACAATGTCTTCTCGCCGTAATCCCACGAAGCTGTGGACTACTAACCGCTCATTCTGATACGCATTCAATTACATACACAATTACCGACGACGAGATGAACGGTCGGTGATTACGGCCGAGAGAATCAAGTACGTTTTTCATTTTGTCTTAATGTATGTTTTATAGTCCATTCGCACTCCTGTATACTTGGACAATTTAGAACGACAAAAAAAGAAATATAATAAGTGTAATGTATAATGGAAAGTAAAGGGGAAAAAGATGCAAAACGTAATAGAGGCAGCAAAGAAGTCGAAAACGCAAAAGAACAAAAAAAGATGAGCTTCGGAGTAAGCACGTTTGTTCTCATAATAATTATTATACATTAATAATTTTTGTATTTTTGTCAAATATTAACCGATCGAACGAGAATGCAAGATGCATTACGCCACTATTATATAATTATTAGCTATACTACTGTGTATAAATATGGATATATAAGAATAAATGTATTAAAGAAGTCTTGTGATTTACACATTTGTGGTACAAACTGTGTGTATTTCGATCCTGCGTCCAACGTTATTTCACAAATATTTATCCGAAATATTTCTTCCTGATTGTAAGGTTATCGTATGAACCGTTGTTAATGATTCTACGTTGCAATATGCCTTTCAATATCCTTGTTTATTTGAAATTCCGCACCTGACGGAATCGATTAGTCGATTTAGACCAGTGAGATATAATTATCGATCGTAATATCGCATCTGTTTAACTCACTCATATCAAAGAGAAGAAGGAGAACGGTCATGAGCCGGTTTTAGTTGATCCCGATTTCAGTTGAAATAGAGTCCCTATAATCAGAGTCTGGCCAGCAGAGGAATTGTAGCTAAATTCTGCGAGAGAGAAAAATACAAATTTCCTATCTCTCTCTGCAACCTATCCTTTTCCGACGCGCTCGCGCATGCGCTTCAATCTAACTACTCTGAGATTAAGCTTGTAAAATAAAAGCGAAGAAAAGGTTAAAGTCTTTAAGTATTTTAATGTATTTTGTTGTTATACAAATATTTCTGTAATACATGTTTCCTTTCTTCTATTTTACTTTTCTTCAAAGGAAAGTCCAAATTTTAAAATTTTACTTTTCTTCAAAGGAAAGTACCAATTAACAATATGTTATATATAATTATGTATAATTATATACATTTATATATAATTATTTATAATTTTATATGATTATATATAATTATACATAATACCCAGATAGCCAAACCTGTGCGAGCAGATTTTACGCAGAGTCTGTCAACAGTATTTGTTGACAGAATGGCAACAGACTGCACACCGAAACTGTTTTAGCAGTCTCTGACAAAAGATTGGTGACAGACTGCGCGCAGAGCCTGTCGACAGATTCTGACGACAGACTGACGGCAGATTGCGCGCAGATTCTGTTTCCTAGATAGGCTATTTAATTCTATTAAGGGCCATATGTACGTTATTAAATGGGGCAGTTTCACATACACACCATGCTACACAGAAGTCAAGATAATTATATTGTGCAATAATTGTACACATATACACAATAAAAAACAATGTTTATATTTTAAAATTATATTACACATTTTTTATAAAAAAACAATAATAGAGAAATAACGAGTACAAGTATAGAATAGTACAACGGTTAAATGGCCATTTAAAGGCGTACACATGTCATTCCTGGTAAAAATTGTTCTCATAATTTTTCATACAATTTCTCATCTTATTATTTTTTTAAATGTTGTTATGTCATTAAATCCGATTTAACCGTCATGCAATAAGTATTGAAGGCAGCAGCACCGAATAAAATATTAGTCTCGCT